TGGGGGTGGTGGCGGGAGAGGGGCCCAACTTATTCGACCAGCCTCTGCTACGGGCCAGCCGAGCACAAGATTCCATGCGCAGCGATTTCTTCCTTATTGCTCTCGCCATCGCTGCTGCGGAATGCCTCCTTTTGGCCACTTCGGCTTATTATCTCGCGGCGCGCCCCCTCCTCTACAGCTGATGCCCGGCGCTCTGAGGACACCTGGAACAGGTGATCTTCCATGCAGTGCGCCCGACGGGCACTCGGGGCCCCATCGCGGGGGGGCCCCCTTATTCAATTGCACAGCACTGCAGCACCCATGCATCGTTTTTACCTGTGTTCTTTGTCCCTGACTCTCGTGGTGCACCCACTTACTCCTGACATTAATCGCGGTGTCGGTGGCCCCTCCACCTGGGAACCGAAGAGCGGGCCTACCGCCGGCAAAAAGAGCGTGCCCACTGCTGGCAAGAGGGACTTTTCATTTTGACTTTTCCAGCCTTGTTGTCGTGCAAGGCTTGTAAGAGAGGTGCACGCTCCTAGCCTAGTTCTTTCGCTCCACAACCCTGGGCGCGTGAGCAATCTGGTTGTGGAGTGCTACTCGTGCCTGGTCATCCCCCGCCTTGCTGGCGGCGCGCTCGCTGCATTATTGTCACTCTGGCTGAGCAGGAGCACCCTTTGACAGTCTTCAGACGGCGCATTTCTGTGTGCTCACCTCCCTCTTGTTCGCTGGTTGGCGTTGCGCCCTCCCCTCTCCGCGCGGCCCTGACGCGCTGGTGGTGCACTCCATTTGCAAGTTTGGGGTTATTATGCAAACCCTAGGTCGCAGCCCGAAGATTGCTGGATTTCTTCTGCAGGTTAGGGTGTGCCGCAAAAGCCCGGCCTCATCGGCAAGACTGCGCAGTGCGCATTCGCCTCGCTCTAGCCTCGGTTTGGAGATTGGTGGACTGTGGGACGGGCATGGTCGTGGTGGGCAAGGGTGGAGTACTCGCTGCACGCCGTTCGCTACAGCAACGTCCACTTCTACTTGATGTACATTCTGTGCAACGAACAGTCTAGGGCAGCATTCCAAGAACTGCCTTTAACACGGTACACACTAGCCACTGGTACCTCACCAGGCCAGCCTCGCAGGCAAGGTAGCACGTGCCCATGAAGCAGTTTGTACCCAGAGCCTTTTTCTTTGAATTGCAAGGTACAAGCTGCTTCAACTGGTGCCCAAGCCGAGGTGGCGGAGGAGGAACCATTTCTCTGGCAGTCACCAGACGCCACTTATTTACACACGCAGCTTCTCCATGTTATCCCCCCACCCAGCCTTGCCATCACTAGTATCAAGCCTGCTGGGAACATTATAGCCAGTTTTTCCCTTTGATCACAGTGGCAGCCTGCCTAGTTGGCACATGCTCTGAAACAAGTGATGGGGCAGGTGGAGTTGCCAGGTTAGGGTAGCTAGAGCGGAATTGCCTACGGTTTGGGGTCAACCTTAAACCTTGGGCAGCAACCCTAGAACTGCCGCTGTCTATGCGTCGCCCTCGCACTCTTGTACTTATTTGCCACCCGAGGAGGCATTACCTATAACAGGTGGGGGTGTCGGCTACACTTACTGGGGGTACTTGGCTACCGAGATTAGTGCCTCCCTCGAATACCTGGCGGGCGCCTTCTATTCCTGCTATTTTTGGCCTCGTCTTTAATTCTCTCATTTTCCGCCGCGCCCCTCAGGTACACCTTGACTCGAGTCGCACTCTGTTTTTTTGTTCAAGAACGCCACAATCGTAGGATTCAGGTTCGGCCAACGTAAAAAGGAGGAGGGGGAGGAGGAGGGGGAGGAGGAGGACCAGGGTAAACCCAGGGTTCAACAACGATGTTGCAATAAACCCTCCCTTCGAGCTCCTTCTCCATAGGCCCCATAGAAGGTTCCATTCCCTCTGGGGGAAGGTCCCCGTTATGCGGCAAGCGCTTGAAGATCCTTTGCCGTGCCAGAGCACCATTATTGGGATTTCAACGCCACGAATCAACCGGATTCTTTTGTCTTGACGGTCCTGAGTCGTGACAGAACACAATTTCTTTGACTCCGACGCCGCGAATCAACGTAACTGTTGCGCCTTGACAATCCTGGATCGCTCCAAGACATTATTTCTGGTACTTAACCATGCGAACTTTTTAAAACCAGCCCAAACATAGACAACAAATGCGCGCGGCGCTAAGACAATATAACCACATTTTGAAAACCAGCCGCCATCCATCCGTGAAGTTTTTCAAAACGAATGTGCGTGGCACTAAGTCGAAAACCACATTTTGTAAAAGAGCAGCCCTCCGCCGGTGAAAATCCGGTATTTGTTAGTGTGCGCGGCGCTAAGGACAGAGTCAGATTTTGAAAACGACCTCCCTCAATCCGTGAAGTTCTTGTTGGACATTGGTGAGAATAATGTGCGCGGCGCCAAGGCGACATCCACATTTTGGAAGCGACCCGACCTCCATTTGTGAAACTGTTGCCAATTTTGAAGCTTCCGGGTCTTGAGTGGCAGGGGAGTCTCAAGCGCAATGCCCGGCCCGCCCTTCCGACCGACCTCGGGGTGCGACAGGGAGGAGTTACTTATGGGGGAAAGGAATGGGGGAAGAGGAGGAGGAGAGGAGGAGGAGGAGGAGGAGGGAGGAGGAGGAGGAGGGGGAGGAGGGGGAGGAGTGGGAGAGGGAGGGGGAGGGGGAGGGGAAGAGTGGGGGCGGAGAGGAGGAGGAGGGAGGAGGAGGAGGAGGAGGAGGATGAGGAGAGGAGGAGGAGGAGGAGGGAGGAGGAGGAGGAGGAGGAGGAGGAGGAGGAGGAGGGGGAGGAGGAGGGAGGAGGAGGAGGAGGAGGAGGAGGAGGAGGAGGAGGAGGAGGAGGAGGAGGAGGAGGAGGAGGAGGAGGAGGAGGAGGTGCGGAGGAGGAGGAAAAGGCGGAAGAGGAGGGGGAGGACCAGGGTTCGTTAACGATATCGCAATGAGCCTTCCCTCCGAGCTCCCTCTTCATAGACTCCTGCAAGGAGTCATTGCCACTGAGGGAATTGCACCGTTGCGGGACATCCGTGTGAACATCTTGAAGCGTGCCAGATCACCCTTCTCAGGACTTCGACGCCATGAGCCAACCTGACTGTTACGTATTGGCGATCCTGAATCGTGCCAGAACGCCGTTTCTGGGACTTCAACACCGCGAATCAACGGAATTGTTCCGCCGTGACACTCCTGAATCGTTCCAGAACTTCATTTCTGGTACGTTACCCATGCGAGTCAGTGAAACTCTTGCAAGTGTTTCAAGCGAATATGCGCGGCGCTAATGCGAGATCCACGTCTAAAAGAACGACCCTCCCTCAATCCGTGAGGCCCATGCGAAATTTTTGAACGAAGGCGCGCGGCGCTCAGGCGAGAGCCACATTCGAAAAACGAACCGCCCTCAATCCTTCAAACTCTTGCAAATTTTCTAGAACGAATGTGTACGGCGCTAAGGCGAGGACCACATTTTGAAATCTAGCCGCCCTCCGTCAGTGACGCTCTTGTGAATTTGAATAACGAATGCGCGTCGCACTAAGGCGAGAGCCACACTTACAAAACGAGTTGCCCTCCATGCGTAAAGCTTCTCTCAGTTTTTAGAACGAATGCGCGCGGCGCTATGGCGAGAACCACATTTGGAAACGAACCGCCCCCAATCCGTGAAGCTCCTTGCACATTTCCTAGAACGAATGTCCGCGGTGTCAAGGCGATAGCCAGATTTTGAAAGCGACCCGCCCTCCATCTGTGAAGCTGTAGTCAGTTTGTAAGCATCAGGGTCATGAGTGGTCAGGAAGTCTCAGGCGAAACGTCCAGCCCGCCCTTTCGACCGGCCTCGGGGTGCGAGAGTGAGGAGCTAATTATAAGGAAAAGGAGGAGGATCAGGAGGGGGATGTGTTGGAGGTGGGTGTAGCAGGAGGAGGGTGAGGAGGACAAGGAGCATGAGCAGGGGGCGTAGGGAGGGATAAGCATTGTAGCATTGGATTAGTTCTTGCGGCAGCATGATCGGCCGTGCGAACAAATTGCCACGCGTAGCAGCAGTACGGTGGTTACGTGTCGTGCCGACGCGACGGCGACCCCGCCGCGGTCGTTGATGACTGAACGCCGCCCGTGTCCCCGCATCTGCCAACACGAAGCGACCTGACGAGCGAAAAGCCACCGATCTCATGTCTGAGCGATTCGCGCGGTGTCAGAAGCCAGTGCTGGCGTCGTCATGACACGACCCTGCTGCAGGAGGACGGCCTGGGGTTCCGGGGGCGTTCTGGGGTTCACTTCGATCCGATCGTTCTGGTTCGATATCTGGCTCTGGCCTCACCGGTTCGATCCGATTTTCGATTTTCGGGGGGGTCCGATGCAGCCCGATGCTTGCGTGGCGCTGTGATGCATCCTGGCGCCGCCGATTCGATCTGCTTCTGGCTCCCAGCCGATGCGGTCCGATGCGGTACACGTTCCGATCCGATCCGATCTCCCGATTCGGTGCTGCCTGTTCCGGCACTCGGAGCAAGTCGGACGCTGCTCGGACGAGGATGAAATCCGAGGCGGGGATTTTCCCATATGCACCGCCTGGAGGGTCAGTTTTCGGAGCCTCGGCAGGCGGTGGATATGGACACATTCGGGTTTTTGGGGGCCGAAATAGATCCATATCCACCGCCCGCTGGGGCACCAGGACGTCGGTTCCCAGGCGGTGGTTATGGATAACTCCCCGCCTCGCATCAAATCCGTTCCGGAGCGCTCCGCAACGCTCTCAGAGCGCTCCGCAACGCTCCGAGAGGGCGCCGATCTTCGAACATCTTTGACAGAGATTTTCAATGCATCCTCGCTCGATGTTGCCCTCGTCCTGGCCTCGTCTCCGCAGGAGAGCGGAGCGCCGGTTTTCCCTCCTCTGGGCCTCGCCTGAGCGGAGCACCCTCCGCAGCCTCCGGCTCGTGGTGGCGCCCCCCCCCCCCCCCAGCGCGCGCGGGGGGGGGCACTGCTGCGGCCAGCTGCGGCGCCGCCGCATGGGCA